AGCGCATTTTCTCGTCCGCCCGTCCGTGAAGTCACGGACAGACAGGCGCACAGACGGACGGACGGACGGACATGACGAGCACAATAGCGCCTTTTTTCCATAAATGAGAAAATGAGCTAAAAAGACCTCATCCCTAGCATGTACATAAAACCATCGGACCGGACCATCGGATTCACATAAACCATCGGATTCACTGAAACCGAATATTTGGAGCCTGAACGTATAAAATTTGATCAGGACCAACATTATACCTCACTTCACTCTACACCACATAGGGGGACTATGTAGATTAAAAAATCAACTTGACATGATATTCATGTTTATGGCAGTACTTAGAAGAACACTTGAAACACTTAAATAAAATGATTGTTGTCCCATTGTCGAAACAACACTCCAACTAGAGCATCTCGAAAACACGACAAAATGCCATAAAAATTCAACAAGACCACTACACCGCACACTTATATATCCCATTATTCAATGGCTTATCCTTTAATAATTGTATGGTGCATTTTGCTCTGCCTGGCCTGCCTTATCCTTAAATAATTGTCGGGTTATTTTGCTGTGCTTGCCTTATCCTTGAATAATTTTTTGGTCTATATTGTTGTGATTGTCCTATTATTGAAACACACACAAAAAAAAGGTTTTGATGAACATGCGCAGGAATTACCAGCAGGAATCATTACACTACTGTTCACAATTTTTTGCAATCGTGACTCGTAATTGCATCCAATTATTGTACTAATTACAATGCTATTCTTACCAATGTTGCTGGCGTAATGAGGCGACTAGAGCAATGTGGCGACAGCGTCACACTTTTCAACACTTTTTCATCTGTGAATGAATTGCTCATTCTATTCAATGGTAAGACAATAATAAACAAATTAACAAGCTCGTTACGCACTTCAAGCACATCACTGCACTTCAAAACATAACTGCCAAACTGACATAACTGCCAAAATAAGGAATCTAATTGCAGATCGCTTACGTCACTTAAAAAAATATGTTAGCCTCACGCAGTCAACAGGTGCACGCAATTGCTGATTCCACCTTTTCGTTGGTCATGGAAAGATCCTCACGTAAATCCCACTGCATGTAACGACTCGGTTGTGGTGATGGAGGTCAATTAGCGTGAATTCAGAGCCGTCAATAAATAAGCCGTCGATTTCGAATAGTGTCGAAAACATTTTTTTAAATAGTGGCATTCGGCAGTAAAACATTTTCATCGATAGCACAACAGACGGAAAGAACACGAAAAAAACAACATTCTGGACTTTGTGCAGCTTCTTTGCTAAATTTATATATATTTTTTATCCAGGGAAAATAATATTTTTGGCTCACAGCTCAATAATTATTGTCTATATTGACACAAGAGAATATTTCAAGGTACAGTAATATTTGAAGAGCGTCGAACAGTGAAAATTTAAGGAAAATGTCGCAACGGTTCACCCTTGCCACGTCGTGTGGTCGCTTATCGCCACAACCTCAAATGGCGTCCGTCCTGCCATTTTATCCTCATTGAGGTTCCCTGACGACACTAAACACAATAATGATCCTCCACTCGTGCTGTGCCACCCGTCCTGCCATTTTATCCTCATTGAGGTTCCCTGACGACACTAAACACAATAATGATCCTCCACTCGTGCTGTGGCACCCGTCCTGCCATTTCATTGCTGCTTGTCCGCTAACTCACATGATAAATTTTCGCAATCAAATTGCTTGTTGACCGGCACTTCTAATATTCGATTTGATAGGCTCTCTAAGCCACTAAGAATATATGATAATTTACGAAGAAACCATGGTGAGAAATATTGAGAAACTACTAAAAAAACTATTCAAAATGTGGCCACTTTGCTGTTATGGAACGCTATTTTCTGGATCGAACTGCCGAGCGAAAAGTTTGTGCAACAAACAAGTTTGAGTTTCAACGCCGGTGTTAGAGTTGGACCAAACAACGAGCGCAACGAGTTTCACCGCTTAACTTAACTAAAGTTCGTAGTCAAAGCGAGAAGAATCAATTGCAACCCACGCACAGCTCGTATAGCACTCCACGCACAGCTCGTATAGCACCCCACGCACAGCTCGTATAGCACCCCACGCACAGCTCGTATAGCATCCCACGCACAGCTCGTATAGCACTCCACGCACAGCTCGTATAGCACTCCACGCATAGCTCGTATAGCACTCCACGCACAGCTCGTATAGCACCCCAAACAAAACAAAGAACCACCTCGTATCAATTAAAACTTCATCAAAAATTTAGTTTAAAAAAAGTGGGGGGCGCGCTGCCCCACGTTACCCTACTTAGTAGAATGCTTGCAACACTCGAATAAAAAATGATTGTTGTCCCATGGTCAAAAAACACTTTAAGTAGAGTATCTGGAAACCACGACAAAACACCTTGCAAATTCAACCAGACAATTTTTTTCACAGCACACTTATATATCCCATTACTCAATACAAACAATTTCTTACGGATAAGACAAGCTCAGCAAAATAAACCAAGCAATTATTCAAGTATAAAACAAGCACAGCAAAATAACCCAATCGCCGATAAGAGAAGCTGTACTATCCTTAAATAATTGTTTGAGTTTTTATGCTGAGCTTGCCTTATTCTTGAATAATTATTGGATTTATTTGGCTGCGGTTGTCTAATTATTAAAAGAAAAAACATAACTAAGTACTCACTGCAGTGAGTGACAGAGAGCGCATTTTCTCGTCTACGAAAACGTGAAGTCATGGACGGACAGACAGACGGACGGACAGACGGACATGGCGACCACAATAGTGCATTTTTTCCATAAATGAGAAAATTCGCTAAAAAGGGTTTTGATGAACATGCGCAGGACTTGCTAGCAGGAATCATTACACTCCTGTTCACAATTTTTTACAATCGTAACTCTTAATTGCATTCAATTATTGCGCTAATTACAATGCTATTCTTACCACTGTTGCTGACGTAATGAGGCGACTAGAGCAATGTGGCGACAGCGTTAATTACTGAGAAAACAAATACTTTTTCACCTCTGAATAAATTGCTCATTCTATTCAATGGTAAGACAATAATAAACAAATTAACAAGCTCGTTACGCACTTCAAGCACATCACTGCACTTCAAAACATAACTGCCAAACTGACATAACTGCCAAAATAAGGAATCTAATTGCAGATCGCTTACGTCACTTAAAAAAATATGTTAGCCTCACGCAGTCAACAGGTGCACGCAATTGCTGATTCCACCTTTTCGTTGGTCATGGAAAGATCCTCACGTAAATCCCACTGCATGTAACGACTCGGTTGTGGTGATGGAGGTCAATTAGCGTGAATTCAGAGCCGTCAATAAATAAGCCGTCGATTTCGAATAGTGTCGAAAACATTTTTTTAAATAGTGGCATTCGGCAGTAAAACATTTTCATCGATAGCACAACAGACGGAAAGAACACGAAAAAAACAACATTCTGGACTTTGTGCAGCTTCTTTGCTAAATTTATATATATTTTTTATCCAGGGAAAATAATATTTTTGGCTCACAGCTCAATAATTATTGTCTATATTGACACNCAGCTCGTATAGCACCCCACGCACAGCTCGTATAGCAACCCACGCACAGCTCGTATAGCAGCCACGCACAGCTCGTATAGCAGCCCACGCACAGCTCGTATAGCAACTGTAGTGACTCGCACTAGTATTTCATCAATTTTGAGCACCAATAACACTCGTGTAATTACTGAATGATGAAGTTTAGTAAATGTCGAAATTATTTTATATTAAATCGTACCAGAAAATATTGTGAAATTTCTAAGAATGCCAGTGGAGAACCATCTGCCAATCGCGCATCGGGTAGCTAAGTCATTTTCCAGACGGCGCCGTGGGGTTAACATCTATATTAAGGGGTAAGCTGCTAAGTTATTCACTAGAATTAAATTCTTTTAATGCAACTGAGTATTTCAGGAAAACGTAATAAATAAATTTCTAAATTGTGTTTTACATTCTTTTGATATTGTTATTCCAATATGTTAATGTCATGTTTGTATTCTAATGACCAACCGCCCGCATGCAGGTGTTGGTAGTGCCGTCATTCTTCAAACCATCAATAAACATACTAAACATCAGATTTTTCACTCCACCCTAGCCTACTCGATTTACAATCGCATCAATCAATTAAGGAAGAGGGACGCTAAAATCTTATTCATATCCAACAACAATTCAGAAAAACCAAAACCTTCCTCCAAACAACCCACGCACAGCTCGTATAGCAACCCACGCACAGCTCGTATAGCAACCCACGCACAGCTCGTATAGCAACCTACGCACAGTTCGTATTACAACCTACGCGTATATTCTGACCTTACGCAGATATTCTCATTAAACTGTCAGAGGCGCGTCATCGGTGGCCACTGGACGATAGTTCGCTGATGATCAAGAATATTATTTTCCTCAACAACATTTTCGAAAATTAACGAATATCGTATTGGCAATCGGCTGACGCACGATTATCAGCTATCATTAATTCATGAGTTAATTTTTCATATGAGTTTGTTCAGAGAATATTCGGAGAATTATTAGCGGCTGATGATCGTTACGTGTTTATTATTACTCGACTAAATCTAGTCGACAGAATCAGATCAAAAACCACCAACAAAAAAATTCTAATACAGAAAAACTAATGTGTAATAATGTCCAGATAGTGACACACTTCATACCCTTAGTTCAATGACGTAAGTTGCATCGATACGCTCATTAGATGAGTCAAACTGGGTCAAGATGACCTACATATGGACAAAAATGGTATGGCTATTTTAACAAAGTGTCGCGCATTTCTTCGGGTACAATGGTTTGCCGAGCAGCGAAAGCATGTTTTGTTTATCCGCTGCATCTCACACTCATTTAATGAAGTCACCATAAATATAAATGGAAATTATACCTCATAAATCGATGCAATAAAGTCATAATAAATCTACAAGAAAATTATACCTCATAAATCAATGCTCTGGTCTCACCTGGAGTTGGATCTCTTGCTAGGATCCTTCTTGCCGGCCTGTAGGTGCGTGAGATCCTTCTGACGCTTCTCGGTCTCGCGCCAGATGCGCCAGTACAGGAAAATCATCACCGTCACCGGCAGGTAGAAAGCTGCGATGGCCGTGCCGAATGTGATGTACTCGTTGGTCTTGATGAACTGAATGTAGCAGCGCCCAGGCTCTACGGTCCTGGGGAGACATCGCAACATTCACCTAATGTGCATTCATTGTCAAGGTTCAGGAACTGCTATGAAAAAGGGTTACGAGTTTGTTGCTTCGTCAGCCAGTAACTGACGGCTTCTCAAGCCAAACCAACAAATCACAGACAAAAAATCGGCCGCAGCGTGTACGTAGGTCGCTACGTACACGCCGTTAGTAATTTTTGATAGTATGGCATCTGATCTAACGCATTAATTGGATATCCACTATATATGAGGTCAGATATAAAGGGTCATTGTGACCCACCTTTTTGTATTTATTTAATGCTAGGAGTAAAGGGCCCCGTCACCCACCTGTCGCCCTCGATGTAGGCCCAGTCACCCACCTGCCGCCCTCGATGTAGGGCCTGTCTCTTATACACATCTAGATGTGTATAAGAGACAGGCCTTATCCTTAAATAATTGTCGGGTTATTTTGCTGTGCTTGCCTTATCCTTGAATAATTTTTTGGTCTATATTGTTGTGATTGTCCTATTATTGAAACACACACAAAAAAAAGGTTTTGATGAACATGCGCAGGAATTACCAGCAGGAATCATTACACTACTGTTCACAATTTTTTGCAATCGTGACTCGTAATTGCATCCAATTATTGTACTAATTACAATGCTATTCTNCATGCGTCGTGAGTAACAGCGTCATGCGTCGTGAGTAACAACGTCATGCGTCGTGAGTAACATCGTCACGCGTGCGTCGTCAAGTGTTATTTTAGCGAAGAACGTAGGGACAAACCTCACGTTCAAAATTCGAACTTCGCTATATGTTATTGTAGCAGATTTAAACAAAAATTTGATACGCAGAATAGTGATGCACCAGCATTATATTTTATTACTACGCTCCTATTACAAAACACGCTAGGTTAATATCAGATTTCTTCATTCTTTTAGGTTTAACTTCAATACGATATACAATGTTCGAAATTGAATTTTTCCTCACCAACAGTCCTAACAAATTCCGGACGAGGCTATTCCGTTAAAAAGCCATTAAAATTAATTGTGTTCATCGAATACATACTATGGATCCAGGCTACCGCAAATTGTTCTAATTTTTTTAATTCTGGGACGATTTCTGGAAACTTAAACTCGACTAGACTTTGGAGTACAGATCTGAGTAATAAAAGAGTGTGAGTAGATGACCGCAAGTAGATAAAGCTTCTGTAGATAAAGTAAATAATCGTATAGGGTGAACGTGGGTAGATATCAGAGGTATTATCCTTCGCTTTGGTTCGGTCGTATTTCTCTCGTATACATTCTTTTTGTTAATGCGAGAATCGCAGGTTAGTGGAGACCTCTGAACTCGGAAGACGATGGTAGTGATGGTAGAATAATTGTTCGCTACGAGGAAGACGGATCATGAGACGAAGAAAGACGGGCCTCTGACGAGGAAAGACTGCTACAATTAAGTCCATGCTGCAGTGTGGCAGTAAAACGTTTGAGGGTGGACCGTCTTCCAGTGCATGCATCGCGAGATGAGGGCGCGAGGGAATGTTATGCATGTCAGGGAAGGTGGTTGAGTGGGAGTAATTCATCTACTGCGTATGTCACTATCTGGGAAGATAACTTTCAACTTAAATTACACGTAAACTATCGAGTGTAGCAACCTGAGGACGTTTGTACGCAACAGAGAACATTTTAAAGTTGTCGTAGGCGGCGGCAACCATCAGTGCAAGTCATTTTGCGCTCACTAGCAACGTATCCTTTTTGGGAAGTAGGCTTGTGACAAGATTGCTCCGGTTACTCATGTCAGGCGGTAAAGGGTAAAAGAGTGTAACGTATGAGCAACACTCCTTTAGTTTAATATAGAGTAGAGAAGTGTGGTATAATTGAGTGCAGGGTGGCTCTTGTAAATATCGAGGGGTGTTAAATTAGTGTAGGTAGATCGTTGTTTACATGAGAATATGGTAGAGTAGTGTTGAGCAGATGAGTGTATACTGTATAGGGTGTTGGAGCGCTGTTGTGTTAGTGGCAGTATAGTCTAGAGTGTTTTTGTATACGAGTGCATCAAATAGATGCTGTCTCTTATACACATCTAGATGTGTATAAGAGACAGGGACAAAGTTGTCCCCGAAAGAAAATCAAAATTATCTTTCTTATTATTTTATTACACCTGAATTACTTACTCACAATTAGCTCCTTGACTCGCCTACAGCCCTGAAGACATTTATATTCGGTGTGTCGTTTACACTTTACGACTTGAAAATATTTTTTTGGATCATGAAGACGTGTAAGACGGAAGAATTGCTATAGGTTTATCGGTCGTGCAGACACTCCAACCATGCACATTTGGATTATTGTGATCGATGAAAATTATATACTTTTTGACATTTGGTTTACTGTGATTCTTTTTTTATAANACCCTACAGTGATGGTGATCACACTCACCCTACAGTGATGGCGATCACACTCACCCTATAGTGATGGTGATCACACTCACCCTACAGTGATGGTGATCACACTCACCCTATAGTGATGTCATCACACTCACCCTACAGTGATGGTGATCACACTCACCCTACAGTGATGGTGAGCACACTCACCTTACAGTGATGGTGAGCACACTCACCCTACAGTGAAGGTGATCACACTCACCCTACAGTGATGGTGATCACACTCACCCTACAGTGATGATGATCACACTTACCGTATAGTGATGATGATCACACTCACCGTATAGTGATGGTGATCATCCTACAGTGATGATGATCACACTCACCGTATAGTGATGGTGATCATCCTACAGTGATGGTGATCACACTCACCCTATAGTGATGGTGATCACCCTACAGTGATGGTGATCACACTCACCGTATAGTGATAGTGATCATCCTATAGTGATTGTGAGAACACTCACCCTACAGTGGTGGTGATCACACTCACCCTACAGTGATGGTGATCACACTCACCCTACAGTGATGGTGATCACACTCACCCTATAGTGATGGTGATCACACTCACCCTACAGTGATTGTGATCACACTCACCCTATAGTGATGGTGATCACACTCACCCTACAGTGATGGTGATCACACTCACCCTATAGTGATGATGATCACCCTACAGTGATGGTGATCACACTCACCCTACAGTGATGGTGATCACACTCACCCTACAGTGATGGTGATCACACTCACCCTACAGTGATGGTGATCACACTCACCCTACAGTGATGGTGATCACACTCACCCTATAGTGATGGTGATCACACTCACCCTACAGTGATGGTGATCACACTCACCCTATAGTGATGGTGATCACACTAACCCTACAGTGATGGTGATCACACTCACCCTATAGTGACTGTCTCTTATACACATCTAGATGTGTATAAGAGACAGGCATTAAAGCGGCGATGTAGGGTGTTTAAATGGCAATGTTCTGCATTAAAGCGGCGATGTAGGGTGTTTAAATGGCAATGTTCTGCATTAAAGCGGCGATGTAGGGTGTTTAATCGGCGATGCTGTGCATTTAATCAATGATAGTGGAATTGAAACAGCGTTGTTGAGCTTTAAAGCAGCAATGTCGTGCATTTAAATTGTCATATTGTGTATTGAAAAGATAATTTGGTGCATTGAAATGGCAGTGTTGTACATTTGAAAGGGTCCAAACTTTACTAGAGTGTACAAAACTAACGTTGCCTATTAAAATTGGTGCTGCACATTCCTCAAGAAAGTCTTTCAACGCGGCGATAGTTTGAAAGAAGACAGATGAGTGATCTATTAACATTATTACGGTGCTATTGCATCTTAAGAAACAAATACAGGAGAAAACTGATTAATTATTTTTTTTTTAAATTTTAGTTACGTCCGTTAAAGGGTGACAAATTTCATTGGAGTGGATGCTGCTGTTACACACTCAATTAACATGTTAAATTATGCATAGATGTTATGTTTCAGCGTTGATTAGCGTAACTTAAGATTGATAAGCAAAATTGCTCACAAATGCAGAAAATTCTTAAGAAAAGGAAGTCGCTTAGCGACGACTACTAACCGACCAACCATGCATTGCCTTGGCAACAAGCATATGCACTTTGAACACGATGGCTTCACGGCAATGTTTAATTTCATTTGTAGTTATTTTGATTATAATGAGCCAAGGATTGGGTAAACACGAACTGCATGTGTGGCTTAACAACAACTGCCATTGTAAAGGCAAATTAATTTGCTTCACTGTATAGAAAACAGTTGTGAAAGGCAACATCTATTGTGGAGAACAAAGGTAAATGAAGGCGACCGCCAATGCCATCACCGTTAAAAAAACTAATTACTCCCTATTATTAATTAGACAATTAATAATCAGACTATTAATTAGAATTTCTGTATCGTAAACTCACTACAGGAAATTTGAAAATTATTCTGCATTGGTGTTTTCCGCCGCACATAATAAATGGAATAAAACCAAGTGCATGGAGCGTGTGAATTAGCGTTAACATTAACATTAACGTCAAAATAATAATAATAATAAGTAATAATAATAAAAATAATTGCCGTTAATAATAATAATAATAAATACCCTTAATAACAATAATAATAATAATATATACCATTAACTTCAAAATACCATGAAATAAAATATAAATAAACTCACTTAAGGTAGGATTCTGCGTAGGAATCAGCAGTGATGTTGCTGTAGGATGTGAGGGACAAGAAAGGATTATCGTGCACTGGAGCTAAGGAAACCGAGGCTAGCGCCGTGCTGAGCAGCACCGACGACAGCACATTCGGGGCCACGGTCGGCATTACGGCCGGCACAACGGCGGCCGTGGATGACGGCGTCCACTGCGCAACGTCATCGGAAGACATGGTTGAGTTGAGCGATGGCAGGAGGCTAGATTCCTGCTGGCGAGTTGAATTAGTTGCGTTGAGCAACGTTGAAGTTGAGTTGAAGAATGCGTCTGAGGCCGTGAGCCACTCATCGAGCGGATCTGGGGCGACCGTTGAGCCCAGCAAAGACGAGTTGAAAAAACTCGAGGACAGCCCCCACTCGAGGTGAAAAGAAGTGTTGAAGTTTGAGAAGTTCTCATGGAGCTGAAGAGAGTTGTTTGTTGGTTGCGGTGCATTTGTCACCTGCTGTGAGTGGAAAAAATCATGATTAGGATACATAAAAAGTGCAACCTATAGGATATCAACCACCCTGACAAATTTTCATTCTGCTTTACTGTTATAGCATAAACAATATTAAATTTTCTGAAGAACGCGATTTGGCCTTCGTTTAATGCAAGTCTATTACGTCTTGGTTTTCTCATTTCCGTTGTAACAACACATCTCGTGTTCGTGACAGCTAGACTGAGCTTCTCGCCCAGCGTTTGAAGGGAACTTTTCGGCTTAGAACTTTCTTGCTCGTTACATAGTTATGCTTTTAATGAGCTAACGGAGGGTCTCTGGCAAGTTCTAAGTGCCTTGTGAAGGAAGAGTGGAGGAAGAAGAAAGGCCGAATTTATGGAAAGATCAGAAAGCGGATATTGTACTCGTGCTGGGATCTAGCTAGGAAGAGCGGTGAGTCGGAATGGAAGTTCATTGTCCATTTTTTTAAAAGCCATAGTTTTCCTTTATGGAATATAATATACCCTTATATTAAGTATAGAAATATATAATAAGTAAATTATATAAAGTTTGACGTTTCCCGAAGCACTAATGGGGTTAGCAGATACATAATCATTTTTGTCCAATTTGTTTTTTTTTTCTGCTACCAAATTCCGACGTTACATCTACCGATACAATTTATGTGAAAATCTTTGGCTAATAATTTTGGTGAAGGAGTTTGGAATTTATACAAACAACGGAAGCATATAATATGTCTAAATATAGAGTCATCAATTGTGATGAATTACATTTCATCACACGTCGCACATCTCCACCTGGAATCATACGTCATCACACGTCATCATAGGTCACCACACTTCACACGTCACCCCTCTTCACTGATCACCACATGTCACCACACGTCATCCCATTTCAAAGATCACCACACGTGAATATAAGTCACAAGTCGCCACATTCGAGGATCATCACACATCACTTCATGTCACACGTCACCACACGTCATCACACGTCATCACACGTCACCACACGTCATCACACGTCACCACACGTCACCACACGTCACCACACGTCACACCTGCAGCAGAAGTTCAGGCTCGTCAGTGTAGCTGCCATCTGCCGGCCAGCGTGTTCCTGCGAGTGATGGAATGCGTTTTAATGACGTCATTTCAAATAATCTGCTAATAGTAAGGGACGATCTTACATGGAATTTTCATCAATAAAAATGCGCTTTAGGTTTATAATAATATTCTTACGCCGAAAATTACACATTTTACTCTCCCGAAATGTCAATATAAAAACATTGATCGGAATGTTCTCATATCTTTGAACAAGCGATGGTTCTGCCATAAAATTTAGTCGTCTCCAGGTTGCTTTATCGCGTTGTTTAAAGACCGTGCTTAAGTGTTCAGTTTATATAGGTATTTTAACTCAAACTTATAGCCTCGGAACTTATCAGCCGCTGTACGTATTGCCTAACCCCCAAATTGCCGCACTTCCAAAGCTCCGCTCGAATTATTGCCGAGGCTCCAGCCCCGCTAGGTCCCTCATTCAGAACAAAATCTAATTTGTGATGTCTTCCGCCGAACGTAAACGAAGCTCTTCGGATGTCACAAGTTGGCGCTAATCAACTTGAAAGGAAGGGAGAAGCAGATATCATCCTACTTTATATAACCTTTAAATTCTGATGCGAGGAATAATCTTATGAACTTGCCTCTAAAAATACATCTGATCAGAGAAAAATATTCCAGGTTTCGCACTAACATATTTGTATGTGTTCATTTGTATTTTGTCTAAAAATATACGTTCAGACTTGAAATGCCTAGCACCATATCAAAGCCGGCGGAAGTCTATAGTAGCTATTTGAAACTATCGATCGTCAGTCCTGAAAAGATCCGGTCAAATGACACGATTTTTAGATCTTCCGCGAACAAGTCACGAAAAGTAAGAATCGGCGACAGGCCACATCAGGCCTACTCTTCAGCGCCGACAGCACTATTTTATGTTATGTTTTATTTGTTATTGTTTTGAGTGTTATACTGATCAATTGTTATCACTACAAATTTTTTGACAAGCCCCATTCGACTTCAATTGGCCAAAAATGCGATGCCATTGTACTATACAATCCGAAGAGTCACGCATCATGGCTTCAAGCGGTGTCGAAATATCTTGCATTGCTTTGACAGCAACAACTTATTAGAAGTCAACAGCTAAGCGTAAAAACCGTGTTGAGTAAAAAACTACCTACATAATAACGTAGTGTAATAACCATCAAGGCGTAATTATGACCAAATTGATTTTGAATTTGTTCGCAAAATAAGATTTCTTGCACCGATCGTGGGGCTGGATATTCTACTCTCGAAGTCTCATGCAAAAGTAACAAAGTTGCATTGACGGTAACATATAAGCTCATCAAACGTTGTAAAAATAATTTTGAACTTTTCAATTGAATTAACATGAAAAAATTTCGTTCACTCTTTAAAGAATTCTGAAATCTCAGTGCAATATTTGATTTCGAATTCTTGCCCTGAGGAAAGTTGAATTTAATTTTGAAAACTTATCGGAATATGTTATGCGACATGTTACATTATTGGACAGTTTTCTGGAACATATTAGATGGCATGTTTCGTTCTAAAATGGCTTTTCAATTATCTTTCACTCGCCCGAATTTGTAATGCGGTTGTTTTGAGACAAAATTATTTTAAAACTTCGGTTCGTCAATATTATTTTATAAGTTACGAGTGTTCATGGGAATTTTCCATCAATTTAGAGAATTCATGGTACTTCAGGTGCTGTTAAGGAATCTTTAAGATCCCAGAAAGACTGAAAATATTTTGTATTTTCCCTGAATCAAACACCATTTCCCACAAAAACTGATAACATATCCCACTATTTTATTTTCGCTTGAAACTATTAAAGAAATTTTTATGTCCAAAATATTTTCTTGCCGTTTTGTATTAGAATAAGTTCGTATTACGGATGAACTAATTACGAGTATTCCCTCGGGTAATGTTCTAAGCGTTTTGTTTCTGTCAGTTATGTCTAAAAAAATAACATTTACAGTCATTCAAATAATATATTTATAAAATAATTGGTTCATTATATCTCCTGATAATTTCTCTTTTGATGCACCGAAAAAAGACAGACGCATTTCTATACTTATTTTAGTTTTTCGCTTTGAGCGGGTTTAAATGCTCATTACTTTCCAACAGTTAACCTATCTATTCTCACTGTGTTGCCTATATATACTACTGAAGTAACTGAACAAGAACGAATGCTTATTATGACAACATCTACGGTCATTTCTAGTACGATGTAATGCACGATCTGGATTTCATGACACCCAAGATACAAGATTTGTCCAGACAGCTTCACGAAGTCATGAAGAAATTTTTTGCAAGATCGTCATGATATTCTAGGATTGGTATGTCAACCTACTGCTTTCTCGCAAGTTTGTGTGTGATGAGAAGCAGGCAAACCCAAGACAGGTTAACATGCCTGTTCCTAAAAGTCGACCTGGAGTTTCTGGGAAGAAATTTTTTTCTGAATGTCGCCGCGGTTTATCCGCATGGTAGCACAGATGCGATGCAGGCGCGTGACGCTGTAATATTATGGGGCGATATGAGCTTCTCGGCAGAGCGTCTCCGCGGTATCGTACACGCATATAACATTTGAGATAGTTTCGTTTGTTGATCCTCTCAAAAACTAAGTTTCTTAGTTTTTTTTCTTTATGGAACGGATTCCATCATCGTCTTTAATTGACATTTAGGCGCGGTTGTATGGTAATCAAAAATAGTATATTTCACGTGCAGTTTTAAATGGTACATAAATGAGCAGGGATATTTAATTTGATAGATTAGAGCTTAATAATGATAACAGTAATGGTAAGGGAGACAATCGTTCTTCACAGAGCGGAGTGAAGAACAAATCAAGTTGAATGTTGGTTTCGCTTTAAATTTTTGTTCTCGTGAGCCCTGTAAATCGCATCGGGATATTCTAAGCTTAAATTTTGAGTCTTTGATCGGTACAGAAAATATATAGACAGTTTACGGCTCAAAAAGTGGAAAGTAATGCAGATCCAGACTTCATATTTCTTAACCATGGGTCCAAAGAGCAAAAAACCTTAACCAACCTGAACAGCGCACGGCCAACATAGGATTAACACGACGGGTTAGCTTGCTACTCATCACACAACCTCCCGCTCAGAGCAGAGTTATTATGGTATAAAAAATGGTTGTATCATAAAGCAATTATGGTTGTATCATATAGCAGGGTTATTATGGTATCATAAAGCAGGGTTATTGTGGTATCATAAAGCAGGGTTATTATGGTATAATAGAGCAGGGTTATTGTGGTATCGTAAATTTGGTACAGACCAGGTTCATGGAGGTTGCGCAGCGCCTGGTCACTCCAGTAGCGAAGCTCCTGCCAGAAGTCATGGTCGTCTTGCACGTCGTTTTCCAGGTCTTCTGTTGACTCCAGAACGGTCTGTTGAACAGACCCTACAGGGTCTTCAGACTCTACGCCTCTTCCAAAAGAAACAGCGACTGTTGGCTTTAATTTTAACAAATAATCAACCCACCGAACATCATGGAAATTCGATGATTCATCCTGATCGCTGGAAAAACCAAGTTCGTGGGCGGCACTTGATGGTGAATAATCGTGCACCTGATCTTCAAGAGACGAGCTTTCCAGAGGATTAGGAACGGTTTGACTTCGGTAAATTTTTGTCGGTGGGAATCCTTTAAAATTTCCAAAAGGCGTTGTCTCCGATGGAGAAGGAGCGACTCGTGTAGAGGATGGAGTGATGTAGGTGGGCGGTGCAGTAGAGTAGGAGGAGGGAGAGAAGGGATCAAAGGGAGTGTGGGAGTCCGTGGTCGTGACAGGAGGTTTTTAATTTACACTCGTTGCACTTAAATGAATACAAATGTTTGTACGCTCATCGAGCTGTAAAGACATGGTGATCAATGAAAAACATCATCTGCAATTCAAAATCAAATTTGGTTATAGGCATTGATGAATAAGCGTGCATGGATGAGAACGCTTTGCCGTCCCCATACGTGATATAGAGCGAACGATACTGCATGGCAAAAAATCGTACAAAAATCTTTAGATTATATCTAACCACCCAGTGAAAATTTGCAGGCGCGGCAGCTTCTGATTTGGATTACCAGAAGCTAGGATGACTATAAATTTTGTTAGGGCAGCAGCGTGAGCTGGAGTTGCATAGGATGGATAATACCTGAAGAGCAAGATTCCTTTTCTCGGCAATCCGTCGTCTCGAATCTCATCTTCCCTAATCCAGGCATCAAGAATCCCGTCATCCTAAATCCAGTCATTCGGAATTTTGTTACTCCGGATCCCGCCCTTTTGAATCCCGTTTTTCCGAATCCAGTTAATAATTTTGAAATAAAGGTATATATGGCAAGTAGAGAAAGTCCCGTTTGAACCAAAATACAGCATGGATCTACAATTTAACTTTCGTTCTAGAATACAAAGTATTCGCAACTTTTTATTTTTCATACAACTTTTTTCGACTTTGTGTGTTTTTGAAGCCTGAAGGCAAATAAATAGGGGAGAGCGTATCCAGGATAGTTATCGCATCGACATGTTAACTGGGAATTTAATTCTATATAAAAAAAACGACGGAATTGTGAAAAATTGGAAAGTGAGGTGAGAGGAGAGAGTTACAGTATTTGTAAAAACTGTTGACTATTTTACTTAGGTAGAAGGAATTCTTGTATTAGAAATTTGTTATCTTCCAATTTTCAAACTGGGAGTAAAATAGAAGCTCTATGCTGAATGTGATTTGGAATGACTGGTACAACAGTTATCGCAATTTTATTATTTATCAAAATTATTGACCCGATTCGGAATAACGAAATTCGAAGTGATTAAGTAAGTAACGTGATTCGAGAGGAATTTGTATAAGGCATCAATTATTCATCCTGGGCAACTCCGGCTTTGCTAGCAAGCAATTAATATACTAAGATTCTACCAATTTAATTACAATTTTTATGTTCATAAGAGCATTATAGGGAAAAAGCATATATTAAAACTAATTTTCAATAACTAGATCTATAAATGACACAGTTAGAGTTCAAATTAGAGTTCAAGTAACTTCTAAAATACTCTTAACTAACACTAGCTTGTAAATTAATAGTGCGATTGGACCGTCTCTCTTACTCGTAAAATGCCCCAACCCCGAAGAACGAGATTATTGACGATAAGATATGTTCATCTTAGCTTAAGAAAACACTACATGCATTCGAAATTCTCGACAGATTAGGCATGGGTGATAGAAACAATGACAAATTTTAATTGATTCTGAATATGGTCCCGTTCCGAGAAAGTTTCTCGCTCACTGACGTGATTTAAAACTTTTGGAAAACCAACTTTGCAGCTTCAAACTTTGCACAAGTTTATCGAATTAGAATGCGGTGAGACTAACTACTAATTGTTTGCATCCAAGACTTTAATGTTACAGCGTTGCAAAAATGAACAGGAAACTTTCATGAAACTAGCATGAAACTTTTCGATCGTATATTTGTAACATTTCTTGATCGTTTTACTCTTTTCCAGTTATCCAAACTCCTGCCTGTTATATTGGAATATTTTAAAGTTTCTTTCCCTTGATAATCTCATGTATTTTTGTAATATTTTCCCGTATCGTTCCCAAGCATGATTACAGTGGTTATAATTATTGAGCTATTACTTGGTTTCCCATTCACTTAAGTAACACTCGCATTTATCATTAACCAAATGCTACGACAATAATACTTCCACGCTTATTCATTCGTCTTGCATGTAATCAAATAAATTTAATAAGTAAAATGAAATTAAATAGGAAGAAATATGTTAATCGACCACATTAAGAACGGTTCTAGTTTTAGAATTAATTTAAATTTTGCCATATTTTAATGGCGGATACAAATCTTATCTTATGATAAAGGATCGATATAAAACGTTGTCGTTGCTGAATTAATGATAATTGATATTGTGCGCTTTCAGCACGCAGCTCACACACGGAGCTAGCAATAATCAGCACTGAAATGTTCGGCAATTTCACCGTGGAGTTCTGGCGGCGATTTCTGCCGCCTTTACCAGCCACTCGAGGGCCGCCCGCCTGATGACTTGGCCGTTTGCATTCGTTCGGAATTGATAATTTACATTCGTTGCTTGTTTGCGAGTGTTGATAATTAGCTCCAGTTGAAAATTTACCCGCACGTTAAATTTGGACTAGTAGGAAATTCGTAGTGATTGAAATTTTCCATTTGTTACCGAATTATTATTATGGTAAATCCTATTTCAGGCATATGCCGCGTTGTGAATTCAGACTCGTAGGAAATTCGTAATGATTGAAAATTCCCATTCGTTACTGAATTTTTCTCATGGTAAATCCTATTTCCGGCATATTATGAGAGTTTGTTGTAGTTTTTCGACAATGTCGATAAAAAAATGTTAAAAAATATACGGAAAGTATAATTTAGAAAACATCAGCGAAAAGTGTATTCTGTTTCTGTATGCCCTTGAAGAGTTAATTAAATGACCACCGATAAAGCATCGTTGATTTCTTAGGACCGCTCCCGAGGTAGCGAGTCGGTCGCGATAAACTCGGCAGTTTCCGGCAGGTTTCCGGACCGGGCGCAGCCTCGGGCCGCGCAGAGCGACTTTAACTTGCGATGAACTGCGACCGCGAACGAACATACGCATCAACGTACGACGTTCTCACGACTTCCATACGACGACCATCCAACGGAATTACGATTGCCTTATGACGACTTTACGACAACCGTACGACGACCTTGAGATGACCGTGACCTTTCGACCGGCTTATGACGACTTCACGACGATTGTACGATAAACTTACGAATGCCTAAGGACGACCTTACGACGGCCTTACGACGACCGCGACCTTGCGTCCAGCTTGCGACGACTTCACGACGAACTAAAGAAGGTCTTAGGAAGACCTTACGAAAGCCTTACGATGACCTTATAGCGGAACCTCTAAGACCGGGCACTTAAATGACAGTGCATTACTAAAGCGCGTGGTGTGACGTGGGTGACAGCGAATTGCTGTAACGAGCTGGAGTGTCTCAGATGTTATTGCCCGGTGGTTATGAGCTGGAATGTCAAGGCTGTAGGATCACGAGACGCACAACGGCGACGAGCGTTCCGTGGTGGTGGCGGTGCTGCCGCCTACGCCGGACGACGTCAACGTTGCGGCTTCGTTGCCGTCGGTAGGCAAGAGTTGCGTCAGGTATGGCAGTCGCGGCGAGCGAGCGTCGCCACGGTAACTTTAAGGTGACCTCAGCACACCTCCCGCCCTGTGCAGCGAGCCTGTCGTATCGTGCAGCGAGCCTTCGCCTGTGCAACGAGCCTTCGCCCTGTGCAGCGAGCCTTCTGTCCGAGCAGCGAGCCTTCACCCTGTGCAGTGAGCCTTCGCCCTGTGCAGCGAACCTTCGCCATGTGCAGCGAGCCATCGCCCTGTGCAGTGAGCCTTCGCCCTGTGCAGCGAGCCTTCCGCCCGTGCAGCGAGCCTTCGCTCTGTGCAGCGAGCCTTCGCCCTGTGCAGCGAACCTTCGCCCTGTGCAGTGAGCCTTCCGCCAGTGCAGCGAGCCTTCGCCCTGTGCAGCGAGCCTTCGCCCTTTGCATCGAGCCTTCGCCCGTGCAACGAGCCTTCGCCCTGTGCAGTGAGCCTTCGCCCTGTGCAGCGAGCCTTTCGCCCGTGCAGCGAGCCTTCGCACTGTGCAGCGAACCTTTACCCCTTGCAGTGCGCTTCCCATCTGATGCCGTGTGCCTACCGCCCAAAACAGCGCATTTTCATTTGTACATCATAATGAACCTTTTTCTTTCCTCTTGCCTAGTATGTACAATTCTAAGTGAGTCGGTCTTTTCCAGTAGCCCTGCTCCCATAAATTACTGGACCGCACTCGCCGGGAGAGGCGTCCAAAGCTGGCAGAAATACTTCAGAATGGGGAGCACAAGGGTTCTGAGTAGTGTAATGCTTGACGTTTCTCTTACTTGAAAAGTCGGCAAGATCCACATTATCTGTCGTCTGCCTCTCTCAACTATTGCCGCTACGTGGTTACCAAACATGTGGTTACCTCTCAGATCATCAACACTCCAAGGTCGTAAAAACGCTGCTTCTAAATTTTCAAAACGTTTCAGCCACTGCCAAGTAGCGGTTGACCATCTCGACATGTGCATCAAATACGTAAATAATTTCTTTAAACTTGATCCAGTTGAATTGCATGTTATTTTCTTAGTCAGAGCCATAGACTGCAGAAAAGTCTTCCTGCAGCAGCTACTGGGCCCATTTGACTGTAATACTCATCAGTACTCCTGAAATTGTCCTGAAGTGACGATGAAGATGAGCAAACCAGGTAAGCATTTATGGAAGAGGATTGATCAAGGCCTCAACTATGCGGCACTTTGCTTTTCACCATTGGCTCACTCGATTTTGAGTCTACAACCGCTACGGCTTGACCCTTTCAGGTAACAGGCTGTGGGTCCATGTTAAAAGGCTACCTAGCTACTACACCCAGTAGCCTTAGTTTTTTGAATGACAATATCCGATCCACTCTGTGAGAAGCTTTCCCAAAGTCCAACTACCGGTATACCAGCCTCCACTTCCAGCATCGATGTCAGCTTCCTCTTCAACATAACCAAAAGACGTCGGTGATGCCCCTTGGTAACCTCGAAAACATGTATGATTTTACCTTGAACTCTGTTTTCTGAGGTTGTATAGTTCATAATATTAATGTCACCTATAGATTGCTTGAATCGCAGATTCACTAGAAAATCAATATCAAATATAATCAATGTAATAATAATAATCAATCAAACTAGGATATAGTTCGTTTTCTATGTGGGACAGGTCTCCATGTTCATTATTTTTTCAAACACCTTGATTAGATCTGATATCAAGGTCGGTGTTCTGTAATTTCGACTTATGTCACCAGCATCTTCTTGTAAATTAGTGTTATCAGTTTCCTTCTAGGCAACCAAGAATGATTAACTTTATAAATGATATTTTCCATTGCATAGTGAGTGGGACTTTTAAATGATCAGACTTTGTTCTTTACCAGCACTGAGAGGACACGTCGGGCCAATAAATGTTGATTCACCAGACAACGTTTAATTGAACTTTGATTCAGCGTCAAATGTCTGGTGGAGGCCTTGCATGTGCATTGTGCAGTGTGCAGCTGGCGCATTTTGAAGCGCTTTTAGCTTCATAAAATGCATCTTCACTCTCTTGCAGCGCATGTTTTTGCATTGTTTTCTACGTTCTCATGTAGCGCGCTTCTCTACTTGGGCTTCTTCAATTCTCACGGACGACTCATCGTCGGCCGCATGAAATCAGCATTTTTTTCTGAAAAATAAGTCTCAAGGTTGACTCAGGTTTCAACTTAAGAAAGCGCAATCTATTTACAGCAAAGAGTGCAAGAGTAAACTTGCTTATAACTTAAGACTTACTTACTTATAACTAAGGAATTCGCCCAGTGGCACGCACAAGGGGTTGCGTGTCGTGGCCGTGACATGAGTGGCCGAGCAACGTAGCAAGCATAAAAATATCCTACAGCTTGTTCGCCAAACTTGCTTCTGAAATGTGAACACAATCATTTGTTTGTGTGGTATGGTTGCTGCCTGGACCAGTGGATGATGGTGCCAAGTGGTGTGCATGTGGCATGTGTGAGGTAAAGTATGAGTGCCAACATGTGGCATGTGTGAGGGTACAGCATGAGTGCCAACATGTGGCATGTGTGAGGTACAACATGAGTGCCAACATATGGCATGTGTGAGGTACAGCATGAGTGGNACCTGGCATTTCTTCCTGGTACGGCAACTCGTACGTCAGCCCGGCACGTCTACACGGTAGATTATTCCAGTACGATAGCCAGTCAGTCGATCTATCGTTCATGAATGGCCACCTATATCTCGCCCTAAATTCACAGTTGACGGAAGATGGCTGGCCTCCGATAACCCTGCCATAATCTGAGCCCCGAGAAGTGGGAAGGATGCGTCGCTGTCTGAGAGTCGCCGGGAATTTCAGGGGAATTTTAAGCGCCCTGAGGAGAAATCTATAGCCTCGTTATTGGGGGGCGCCAACCACTCCCCCTCCCCCATCACATCGCCGACACACCCATTATCTTCCTCCTCCTTCATCCATTCCTTCCATCACGTCTACTTCTCACTCTCTTATGTGCCATTTATCTTCATTTCCTAATTCTAAACCCTTGCTGTTCAGCCCTTCTCTCTAACGACCCCTTCCACAAGCCCCATTACCACGACCCCTTCCCGAGCCTACTCCCCCGACATCTTCCCGCACCCACTCCCCTTTCCAAATTTCTCTTCTTGCTGCTCATATTCCCCTGATCACTGCCAGCCTCTTCTTCCCCCTCCTCCTCCTCTCCCCTCACACTCTCTTTGTCCATTACTCGTCTCCTCGTCTTCGTCAACCCTCCTCCCCCTCTCCTCCCTCCTCCACTCCTCCGCCTCCCCAGCTGCTGCTTCCTCCCCTTGAAGGTTGGATGACAGCGGCGGGGGAAGTGGAGGAGCTGTCTCTTATACACATCTAGATGTGTATAAGAGACAGGTTATANAAATTTCATATGGATTATTATGAGAAGTGGAAAGTTTAGATTGCGGAGAAAAATGTTATGATGATGGAAAAGAAGTTTGATCTTTTTGATAATGTTATGATGCTGGTTAAAGAAATTACAATCATATTGATAATGTTTTGATGATGGTAAGATGTTACCATAATGTAGATAATTTTATTGTTATTATAAATGCAATGATGGTTATATAACTAATAGCTCACGATTTAGAACTAAATACGGGAAAAGGCAATCACTTAAAATATCAATGGTCTGCTTGGATTGCTACCTCATCAAGAAATTAAAAGCATAGAAAAACAAACTAATGAATGCTGAAAAATCCAAGTCCTGCTGGCATCAGTAACAGGCGTACTGTGCTTAGGTTATGTGTTATTTATCATTATTTATTAGGATGTGTTAAGAAGTGCAGTATTTTTTACGATATGTGTTAAGAATAGCTGTATTTATTACGATATGTGTTAAGATGTGCAGTATTTTTTACGATATGTGTGAAGATGTGCAGTATTTATTGGGATATGTGTTATGATGTGCAGTATTTATTGGGATATGTGTTATGATGTGCAGTATTTATTGGGATATGTGTTATGATGTGCAGTATTTATTACAATATGCGTTAAGATGTGCCGTTTTTATTACGACATGTGTTAAGATGTGCAGTATTTATTACAATATGCGTTAAGATGTGCAGTATTTATTACAATATGTGTTAAGATGTGCAGTACTCTTCAATTGCAGGAGCTATATAGGGTCTCTAGGTGCGGTGCAAAAATTGAACACGAAATTAAAGTTGCATCCTATGCAGAAAAATTGCTGCTTCAGGAATTGCATTAGATGTCATTTATATACATATTCACAACTACTTACTTGAGCAAGAAATTGTGCACAGCAGCAAACACTCAGACAAAGGAAAGGGTCATCCTAATAAATTGTGACACACTCAGTGCATCGCGCTTTTGCCAAAGTCTCACTTTTTGCTCAAACTGAAGGATAAAAGGATCCGATGTTTGATCCTATAACCAGACTCAGATTGAGCGCATTCAGGCGGTATAGACATGACGCTACCCTTGTTGACTGTGACATATAGCTGAAGTATTGGATTTTCCTATCAGTTGTTTCGCAATTAAATAATTAGGGAAGTAATTGACGAGGATCAACTGAAAACTTATTGGCATGCAAATCAAATTCAATATAGATAGGTTCGCAGCACAGCTGTGAATTAATACCCAAAAACCATACCGTAACCTCTTGTCTAATGATGCTAACTCTACTAAAACAGGTCTCTAGGTACGAATGGGAGAGACGATTTATGCATCCGCAGCAAAAATTACAGGAACAAAAGTTGAATATCTGCTGGTTGAAACCAGCTGCTGTGTCTGCAAGCGCTTCTAAAAAGTTGGAGCGATTAGGAATGCAAATTCCGAAAGTAACTCTGGGGCGAAGTAAGATTTACAGCCGCGCCAAATGCCGCAGCAAATTAGTCGTGCGTTCCGGCGACAGTAAAATTCCATACGTGCTGCTCAACGTGGTACACTGAATTCAAATTCCTCTGAAAACGCGATGCTTTTAAAAGTCATTCTAAAATAGTTATCGCGATGGGAGTTCTAACTTATTTGTCTTGTAATTATGAACCGTTTTCCGACTACATAATCTACGTGACCCAGTCAACGACAGAAACGTATCAACAATGTTATGGAACACGTGCAGCACAACATAATGTTATCCGATGTTTTTCATAGTGTCGACACATGTGGAGCAGTGGTCAAAGTTTTTGAATAATTGTGATCCCATATTCCCGGATGCTTTGTTGCTAGATAAATTGTTAAATTGTGAATATTGCTTTTAACATTAGATGCGGTTAAAGCAGATAAAATCAGGAATAATTATGAAGGGCATTTGAAAAGAAATTTGGAACAGATTATGCAGCGAGAGACAAAAGTTATGTTCGATTTTGACGAGATATAAAAAAAAGTGGCAACTGTGACCTATGTAGATCGTAAATTATAACCTAGTTACGGTAGGTAACGTTTATGGATTGCGTGTGCAATGCAATTACTCTTAAAATTTTTTATTAATTTATTAATTTTATTTTTTTAATTAAATTTAAAGCTGGGACAGGAACAGCAACAGGGAATCTCTTCATCTATCAATGCAAAAAAATTACTCGTAATAAAAATTTTGACGAGACTCTCATCGATGTCGAGAAAAAGGACAAAAGATTAGAAAGGCTTCACACGAGATGGTTCAAAGTTCGCTTTCAATAAAAAATTTAACTCCTGGATCTTATTTTCTGAACTTGCCGATGCCTGAAAATTTTTTAAAGAACTGCGTAAGTAGTATCAGACGTGAGCTGGAGTAGCGAAAGGCGATAGGCATCTAAATCTTATCTCTCAGAGCACTTTTTTTTAGGCCAGTCCAAGAATGGAGTGTTAGAAATTCCTACATTCCGTGCAAAAATGATAGTGAAATATCTGCGGAATGGCGAGTGGCCAAGTGCCTCTACTGTTCATGCACGTAGTTACAGAGAATTTTTCCAGAGTTGACGCAGACTTGCTAGGACCTTTGCTGCTACCGAGCTATAATAAACAGTTTTATATATTAACCGTCATTGTCGGCTGTGAATATTACGTTTCAATTATAATGAATAGAAAGAGACGCCTTGTGAAACTGGGCATCACTGATAAAGCCGTTTCTTGCGTCGAGTTCTATCTTAAAAATCTCTTGCTTCGAGTTCTATCTTAAAAAAATATGACAGCTTTTAGGCCACTTGCCAAACACTCAGCGTCATCTTTACCTTCTTCCTGTGCCAATTTAATTTATTGGAATTTCACCTTCTAGAGCAAATTCCTGAGTGCCAACATGTGTCATGTGAAGATTCAACATTTACTAGAGCACAGTACGATAACTTGGCAAAAAATGTTCGGAGCTGACCAAGCCATTTTGAGTTCCTCACACATTAGATAATCTCTCGGTCTGTACTAGGCGCAGCCAAGAAAAACGTCCAAACTTGTCTATCCTCTGCATGTAGTAGTTTTTTTGGGCGCTGCCCCCCCCCCCCAAAAAAAAGGAGCGAATTAGTGGTCATTGAATTGACCTCGGCGACTCTTACCCTGATGACGCCAGGAAGAGGCATAAGATGGAGATGGAAAACGAGAAAACTTATTTTAAAGTGATGCAACAAGAACCGAGTCACATCAGCCGTTATGAAGATTCATCAGATTGTTTATACATGAAGGCTGATTCCAATAGCTGTCAATTCCACCTTCGCAGCATCGGCACCGCAGCCACGAACTTTCACCACGTCGTCTGTGCATTCCTTGGAGACTTGGTTTGTAAATTGTTGCCCGAATTTTGCCAGGAAAGCAAGTACAGTACCATGAAGCAAGCTACCATAGACTATTATTATAAAATTGAGCCAGAATTACAAAAAAAAACTTTATCGTGCTAGATCCATGTCTGGGCGACCGTCACCTGACTTGCAGGAACTGTGCAAAATTACGACCAAGGTTCGTTTTAATGATGAACTGATTTAAAATTCAATCTATCAGTGCCATCTGATATTACGCTCGACATTGCAGCCCATCAGGAAATGTTTCTTTGTATAACTTTAAGTTTGGCCGACGAGTTAATGCTTTTTTAGCAAGCTAACCATAGCAACTTCTATAATTAGCAGTGTTCAATCAAACAAAAATGCTCCATCTGCTCATTAGGGAACGTCAGCTCTAGCTCATTGAATTAATTAATGTATGGCTTGATTACGTCCTTACAGCGAAGATGCCATAATTATCTCATGTGGGAATCTTCTATATAGAGCTACACCGAGTAATCTCCGAGTATCTATCTACTTGTAGACCTAGTTTGCTTGCACTTGGAAAGCAGCTTAGCGAACGCTCTGGTAATTTTGCTTTCGTACCTTAGTAATTTTTTTCGAAATTTTTTGCCTTTTTGGTAATTTTGCCTTCGAATGTGCCGTTGGTCCGAGTGCATGCTGATCTGTGCTACGGGAGGAAGGATAACTCAATTGTGATAATCGGGCATGAACGAATTTTCCATGTATTTGGGCTTTGTGATGATCGCTGCCCAGTGCATATAATATATGGAGCTGAAATTTCAGCATCGACCGATCTCTTGTTTAAGTGATAATTTCGCACTGTTGTTAAATTCATCAAAACACATTTTCTGTCTTGACAAAACCAAATAAAGTCAAAAAGCCCGTCACTCGCGTCAACTAAGCCATATAGAGACGGTATGACTTCCCTCATATAAACCCCTTTAGTGCAGATAAATGTCTTTAATCCATGATAGAATATCACCGCGTTCTTGTTCGATATAGGTATACAAATATTATATTACATCATGACATCTTTTAATAGAGCAAACTTTATATGATATATTACTCCTCAAATAAAATCAGTAATAATTATGAAAGGCATTTTAAAATCAATTTATAACAGATTATGCAGCGGAAGACAAAACACTCTCGGATAAAAAAAAGATAGTGCGTTAATTGTTGTTGATTGTGCGTACAGACGCGTCGTTATGTAAGGCGACCTCGAGAGCCTGTTGGGACTCTGCCAGACAGGACCTGGCGGGGGGGGGGGG